TGATATCTGGTGGGAGGGTGAGGTTAGAAATTTTTCAAAATTTTTTTTCTCTCAGTTGCAGTGCACAGTGCGTAGATACATGCTAACGAAATTATTTCATCTTGGCATGTGATTGTTGCTACCAGGACTCGACCATGCAAGTGTGATGATGAATTTGTAATTTAAATTTTTTGTTGTTTTGTACTATCACCCCACAGTGAGAAGTCCATACTGATTGTGATGGTGCGACCCTGGTTGACCAGGATTTTTCTTCCCCTTGTAGGCAATGGGTTTCTTGGATGGCCAAGATGTCTACAAGAGGTTTTCGCAGTCATGCCAGCTTTTTGGCTTGGGGCGTGTGAGCCCTGGATCCTGCGATATTTAACATCCCCTATTGACACTGAGGTGCCCGTGGCACCTCTGGAGCGGTTGGGAGGACCCTCTGGTCCTATCCAACCACGGCTCATTTTGGCCATGCTCCGCATCTGTACTTCAACTCTTTCACTGCCATTGTTGGTTCCCTTGATCTGACCCAATGATTTAAGGGAATTGCGGTTTTTTGCATTTGCGTCAACTTTTCCTGCACAGGTCTCATGTTGATTTGATGCGGGTTGTTGATTGGATTTTAGATTTTTGGGGTTCAACTTTGTTGCATTGTGCACCGCATTTTCACCCAAATTGCGGTTGCATTGTTCCTCAGTATGTGCATGACTGATGACGCTTTGTGACTCAGTCTGGTTACTGTGAGAATTTTTGACCTGGGCATATTGTTCTGTTTGGTTGGTTTGGTGAATATCTGAAATATCCTCCTGAATTTGTCCGTGGTTAATGGCGGATTCCGCATGTGCCGCCGCTTCAGCCGCTGCTCTCTTTGCGGGATTTTTGTGCCGCTTTATGATGTTTACTTGTAACTGGGTCCACGATGGAGTATATTCCATCTTCACCTCAGCAGAATGGGTGGTGGCCATCAGTCATTTTGGCGAAGTTTTCATTATCTTCGTCCATGGCTTCCTCACAGTAGTCTGCTTCCATTAAGCCTTCCTTCACAGGGCATGCATGTTCCTTGTGTCCCAATGAACTGCAGTGGTTGCATATAGGCGGTGCACATTCCAGTGTAACTCATAATGTAGCTGACTGGCCCCCATCTGCAAAGTAAAATTCTGCTGCGCAGGGAATTCTTGATAATTCATCTTCCACTTTGGGGAATGGGTTGATCATGGCGATAGCTTTGCCTGTGCACAGGGTTGGCATCAAGCGAAATTGAGTGATTTGAGTTGCATAATTTCTCTGTAGGCTATGAGCCCTTTGCGGAGCTCCTCCTCAATTACCTTATGAAGAAGGTTGGTAGGGAGTGATTCAAACAAAATAATCAAAGTTTTCACTTTGCTCCATCTGGTGCACGCAGTGCGCACAATTTTTTGCCCTCAGGGAGGGCAATTTCCACGCAGATTTTTGCTGCGGCATCTCCTTCATTGGCTTTTTTGAGACCAATATTGATCCAGCCACAGCCCATGTTGTTGGTGGCTACATATACCGCGTGAGGGAAAAGTGAGGGCTGTGCCTCACATGTTTTCTCCCACAGGGTCGGTGACTCATCCCCAAGGAAGAGTCTGATCCCATGTTCCATCTTTGACAAAGGTTGGTTGAATTGAATGAACATGTATTTCACGTGCTTTATAGTAAATACCATAAACCCAGATGGTGTCTGAGTTTGTAATTTTTATGTCTTGGGTTCCTGGTCCCCCTCCAGGGCGTTTCTTGCCCTTAGTTGCACCGTTAAGTGCACCACTTGCCGCGACGCTCGCCCATGTTGTATTATTTTTGTTATTAAAGTCGCCCATCTTTCCTGTGTGTGATTATCCAAATTTGCTGTTCAAATTGAATCGTAGTAACTAAAGTGATTGTTACGAGAAAGAAAAGCAACAATATATATATATTTTTTAGTACTAGATGGAAACAACAATGTATATATTGAATCTGGAGTTTATTTTCTTTAAGGGTAAGTTTAACTCCTTCCCCTTCTTTGAGTATAGTTCTGGGCAAGGCTCCTTGTGATGTTGTAACCATGATGTGAAATCTTTAGTAATTTTCACACACCTTGCTGAGCGCAATCTCATGGGCAGATGCTCAAGTTTACGCCTCATAAGCAAAGTATTTTTACTACATTATTGTAAGTATATAATAGTTGTTGATGAGCCAAGAAGTCATTGTACTATGGCACGGGCAACCTTTACTACATCAATAAACATACTTATGTATCATAAAGTCAAAGTTGGTACTTTGTATTTATGAGTTTGTTATAGAAGACTCCAATTAGTCATTACCTTGTTGAAGCTTATACAATTGCAAACACAATTCAAGTATGTTGTTTTCTAGACAAACCTGAGAAAGAAAACCTTACAGTATTGTAGGTAGTTTTGTAGAACTTCAGGGTTCTTCAAGTTTGCTTCAACAAACTAATGACGATGTGGTCCAGTTACCTGCTTATCCTTAATTTTTTAATTTATTTTATATCTGATGTATACCTCTTCTCTTCCAGCTCAAGCTCTCTTTCTGCATAAGATAGTATACAAAGGATGCTTAATATGTGCTATTTTTGGGCTGCATTGATAAAACTTGTTCTAATACTACAGAGTGAACCTGACAAGGAGGGTGTCAGGGTGGGGACAATTGTATTACAACCATCCAATATAATTTTCAGGGCTACCAAAGGCCCAAGTGTAAAGATTTAATATAAATATTTTAAATATAAAATTAAGGGAATATCTCCTTAATTGATGATTATCCTTGAATTATGCTATTTAATAGTGACAGTCAAAAATATTTAAGGATAAAAAACGCATCCCATTTTATTCCAGGTAGTGATATCTAAGGAGAATTAAGTACCAATAACATAGGTAAAATCCCCAAGAACTTCTGATACAAGATTTATATTTAACGTCTTCTTTTGGATTTCTGAGGCATACTAAAATTGTGTCAAAGTAGAGATATTTGATTGTTTAGATCAGGTTTGCGCCCCTGAAAGTAGTGAGAGTCAATAATTTGGATCAGGTTCAAACCCTGAAATCAGAAGTGATCTTTTTATATCAGGGTTGAGTTTTGTCATTAGAGGTGATCAAATCTGCAGATGGGGCTGAAAGCGCAACAACGCACCCCTTCTAGATCTTGGTGTAGGGGAGTAAAGTGTCATAATTATTGGCTATGTAATTAATTCAACATAGTATCTGATCAACTTTGACAATTAAATTTTCATTCATATTTTAAAAATGAACTTGTAAGTTCCTGCCCAATTGGAGGCTAATCTGTTGTCTCTTCCACCTGGCCATTGATGGTAGAAATCACTAAAGCACCTGGCTGGTAAGTATGTAGGGGAACATGTTTGTCATTGAACAGGTTGGTTTCACTAGTGGTGGCAGTAGACAAATTAATTAATTCCAGAGCCTAAAGCCATATATTATTAACAATAGCCATTACAGTAATTTCAGGGAAATTTGATCAAGGTCTTGTCTAACAGAATTTGTATTTTAGAAAGCTTTTGGAAAATTCCTTCCATACAAAGCTTGGAAAGTGGTATTTTTGATAATACAAGGTGGCTGATTTGGTAAGCTTGAATAGCTCTGGGTAAGATGTGGCCAATGTAGAGGGTCAGTTTAAACCATTTTCCAAAGTGTTGGAATTAAATTAATGTTGACTTGCTCTACCATCCCATTAGTTTCAAGATGATAGGTGGTGGTAAACACTTGAGTGGATACCATTAATTTGTTTAATTCTATCACCAATGATGAACAAAGCTTTGTTCATTGTACAAGAGGTTTATGTTAGTACATCCATGTTGGGTGGTACAATTATATAGAAAGGAAACAGCAGTCTTGGCCAAAGCTGAAGAAATTGATATAGCCTCATTCTATTTAGTGATATTTTAAAAGCCATTATGAGGAATTGATGGCCATTAGATTCTTATTATAAAGGGCTTACAACGTCAATAAACCGTATAGAAAGGATTATTTGGAAAAACCACTTGATGTTGGGGTAAGGAGTAGGTCCATCTTGGCTTTTACATACTAAGAACGACTCTAGTGCATTATGGATCAAAGGGAACATCTTTTCCTAGTAGCATTGGGACTTGAGACATTTATATGTTTTACAAATTAACCCCTGGCTGACTTGCAGGTGCCCTTCTAAGATAGTATCATTTGCTCAGTGGGATAAATATAGGGTAACCATTAGGATGATACTAGCTTATACAGATGGCCATCCCAGATATGAATGTTTGCCAACCTTTTTCTAACATTTTTTGAATTAAGATTTGCTTATTTTCTAAAGGTTAGTATGGCTTAAGAGATTGTAGAGTCAGTCTTACCAAGTTTTATTTAGAGTAGAATAGGTAATCTGGACAGACATTTCGCGTTAAAATAAATTGCCTTGGGGGTGGACTTTAGAGAAAGCATAACAATGGAGCTTTAAAGCTACTAGGCCAAAAGCTGTTGGGATCTTTCATTTTCTGGAGCCATCGCAAAAATGAATGATCAGTAATTATAGGTAAGTGGGCCCCATATAAATGGGGTGGAAATGTTTGATGGCCATTAAGACATCCAGGCACTAACCTTCTGTTACACTATAATTGCGTTAAGCTTTGGATAATGTTTTGCTATAATAGGAAATGAAAATTAAAATAAATTTTTATTATGTTGGGATAGTATGGCTTCTATAGAGATATTGCTACCATCAGTGAAGATAAAAAAGGTTTATCTAATATGGAGTGTATAACTATGGGGGAGTGAGTATGAGTTACGCATAATATCTCAAAGGATCGTTGCTGTTCTCCACACTGAAAAAAATTCTCAAATTTAATAAGAAGGTTGTGGGCTCAGATGTATTTCTAAAATAGAGAGTGAATTGTCATTAATTTCTAGCCATTCCTAGAAAAACCTGAACATCTTGAAGGTGCTTAGGCGGTGGCATTTAAGAGATAGCTGTGACTTTGTTATATATTGGGAGAATCCTTCTTGACTTACATTATAGCGATGGTGTAAGGTGAGTTGGTAGGGCGTATGGCTACCAACCTAAAGGTCGCATGTTCAATTTCTGCCCACCGCACATTGATTGGGGTGCCATCTGAAGGAAGCTATAGGTGGTTAGTAGGTCTAATAACACAAAAGCCTTACCCATGACGTAACCAGAAAAATATGAATCTCATTCTGGAGGTAAAAACTTACTTTGATGGAGTTGATCCTGCTTGGTTTCATGCCAATACTTCATTTCTTTATTTCAGTAATGTCCATCCCCTGGTCAGCTTGACTCAAACCAATAAATAGACTTACATTATAACCTAGAAAATGTCATTGAATTTTGAAGTTAGAACATTTAAATGACTTTAGTGAATTTTGTCATAATCACTAAAAGACATCCCTAAGGTAAGATAAATGTGTAGTGAAAGTCCATGAGAAAGAAGGTTATGTTGTTGAGGTATACTAAAACACAGGATCGTTTTAAGTCTCTTAGTAGACCATACATTGCTCTTTGAAAGGTAGCAGGGGCATTTCATAGCCCCTGTATAATCTGTGTAGGTTCAGAGAGCCCATTTCTAGAGATAGAAGAATACTTTCCAAAATACTTAGGGGATAGCTCAATCTCTCAGTAGCCACTGGCGAGATCTTTGCCAAAAGATACTTTGATCCAGACATTAAATGTAAAGAATCGTATATGAGGAAAGGGGTAATAATAATCTCAAGTGATGGAATCTAGGAAGCAATAGTACATTAAAGCCCAATGGAATCCATCCTTTCTTTTGAACTATATCAGTGTGGAAGCTTGAGGGCCTTTAGATGGTACAAGTAGTTTGGGCTCTACTAATATTTTTAACTCAAGAGTTGATTGTGCCTCCTCTACCTTGAACTTACAATAAGCTTGAGCGTTAAAAGGGTTTTATTTTAGTTTCAACTTAATTAGTATATCCAGAGATTTTCCCTTAATCGCCAGGTCCTTAGAAAAGCTATCTTTGTATTCTTCTATTAGGGCTTATACATCTTGTATTGATTGAGATTAAGGGTGTTCCATATTTTACTTTAAACTAGGGAAATTGTGGTAGGCGAGTCTTACATAAATCTTGTAAAAAGCAAAACAGTTTGCATCCATGATTGTGCAATAGGACAGAGATTGACATAATTGATGGCAGCACGCCATGGGATAAAAAGAGTCTTATTTGTTAACTTACCTAATAAAACAGATATATATTTTTCATAGACAGGATCTAGGCTCTTGGACAGGTCATAGCTTCCTTAAAAGAAGGATTGGTTTTTCCATATTAGTAAGAACATGACTATGAGGAATCTGAATTTTAACTTGGGCTTCACCATGACTTGAAAACGTGAAAGTATAATAAGGGAATGAGGGTTTAGAGTGATATTTCATCCTTAGAAACAACATTGTTGTGGAAAAGCTAATTTTTCTTACATTAGATTTTTTATTCTATCTGACATATAGAGTAGGATACTCAATTAGGCATGAACTCTTATTAGAGCCCCCTTTTTTACCTGGAGATTTAATAGCAGTGTTATGTAATATCCCAGAAGAGAGAAGTATAGTTATTATTTAACTGAGGTAAGCTGACCAGGGGATGGACATTACCAAAACTTGAAAAGCTAACAAATAAATCCTCAGAAAACAAAATAAATGAGCTTCCCAAAACAAGCAGATGACACACAAAGTGTGAATACAACCAACCAGGTGGGACAGTGAGAACCACTTATCCCATCATGGCGGAAGGGGAGGGGGGATCAGGGGGCTCATCATTGGCCTCTGCTTCACCCCAAAGCAGGGCATGGGCTACGGTGGAGAGCAGGGGCGTCAGAGCGTCAGCGGGATGTGGAGAGAAATTTCTGATGATTGGGGTGGCAAAAAAACAGTGGTTGAATATAAGAGATATGATGCAACTAATTAAAGCTGTTTTAGCTTTCATGCATGCGTTGGGGAGATTTACAAACGTGGCAATATTGGTGCAGGTAATCTTGGATTTAGGATTCTGCACTACCACTGCCAAGTGCTGGATGGCGTCATTGGCGGCTTTGTGAGATTTGATCAACATCTTCTTTTGGAGCATATTGGCGGTGGAGGAAATAATGGGAGAAGGGATTCCTCCTGCAAGCATCGACACTGATTTGGCAGCAGCTTTGCGGATAGGACAATGATCTGGCTTAGCCGTTGCTTCAACATCCAGCTGGTGGTTGCCACAGAACATTTTGGCATTTTTCTGGGGGTGTATAAATGAGGGGGTAGCACAGAGTCATGGTCAGCATACACAAACTGCTCAAGTTGGATTGTGTGGTCTTCAATAATATTCCCAGACTCATCAATAACAGCCAATGGATCCCAAGGATTTTTGTTGAATTGAATTGGGGAGTCAGCATATGCCTGAGGTTTGATTGGTTCATTGGAGGATACATGGGAGAAATGGGGTCCAATCTGGTGCTTGATTGGAGGGAGCATTTGTGGCACTGGGGCGAGGAGGAGTCTGATTGGTGGTTGTGGGTGAGGCTGCAGCAACAGGCTTTGAGGGAGGGGAAGGTAGGATCATACCCAATAATGAAGCTGGCGTGGGGTGGGTGGCAGATTGGAAGCGGCGGACAAAAAATCAGAGCCATCAGAAGAAGCTAAGGATGGACAATTACATTTTGAGTGGTCCAACTAGAAACAGGATGGACAAATCATCTGCCATCCCTTGACGCAGGCCCAGAACAGATGGTCAGGGGCAAGGGGATGATGGTGTGAATCAAAAAGGTAATTTTATTAAATTCAGGTCTGATCATGGCATATATCCCTGAGGCCCAGCGAGGCGTGTGGCCCCATTTGGGACCACAAATTGTAAGGTGGGGTTGGAGCCATAGGCTGCCAAACCGTCCATCAGCTCCTGGTGGAAAACCTCAGGGGGAGGTGGGTGGGCAAACCAGCAAACTGGACCACCGAAGTGGTATCCTCTGGGAGCTGGGTCTAAATTGTGGGGATAGAGGTACCCTGGAAAGCCAGGGGCATCGTTGCCACAGTGGTGGCGTCAGGCTCACAGGTGAAGCTGAGATCAAAATACCCCTTATAGGGGCGGAAGTTAATAAAACCGGCGGGTTTCATCACTGCCTGAGCCATTTTGATAACAGGCTTGGTCATGGTAATGGAAAGGTTTCCCATAATTGACCCTAAAAGCTAAAATGCATGTTGCTCCAGGGGAGCACCAGGGGGCATTGAGGCGCCGCTTGGGTATGAGCGAGGTCAGCATTGAGATCCTTGAGAGGAACAAATCGTCCCAAGGTTTGGTATGACTGGGCAAGATAAGTCTAAGCGCATTTTCCTGTTGGATGGAAAATGGTGGGGGAGTTTCACTGCTGTCCCACACTGGGGAAGTTAGTGGGGAATCTGAGGACATAGGAACAAAACTATGTGGACGATCAAGATTTGCTTCTTTTCTCCATAAAATTTTCTCAGAAAGTTATAACGAGCAAAAAGAGAGTGAGAGAGGTATAGTTAATTATGAATGATAACAGATAAATTCTCCCAATTATTGGACTCTGATTAGTTTACCTAACTAATGTTATCTAAGGCTATAACAAGAGCAGTTATTGGAAGCTTCTCAAATCTAAAAGTAATACTGAGTATTCTCCAATAACTTTAGTGGGCTAAGCTCCCGCTGTTCCATATTCATCCTCATGGATCAAATAAGGAGACACTTTGATTTTTAACTAAATCAGGAGATATAAAGTTAACTGGGTTTCAGTGCCAACTATGACCAGAACTATAACTTTGTGGACTATCACTTCTACTTATACAAAAGAAGATCCAAACTGGTGATTAACTGTTAGAAGACAGTCAGAGGATACTTACAGTGAGGTTAGATGAGATTTTTCTTAGGAAAAGCTCAGGGCCTTTGATATTGGATTAAAGTTTTCAGTTAAAGTCTGGTTTTTGTAAGTGGATCTGACTGTAAAAAATTGTTTTTAAAATTGTCCTATATAAGAATATGAAAGATTTAAATATTTATCGCCTTGTATAGAAGGAGGTACATTGACTATACCTGAGGCGGCTAATACAAAACAGCCAGAAGTATTAGGCTTAAAACTGATAAATGTGATGCGCTCAAAAATTTTTAGCAGAGGGAGCCTCTTTCTCTAAGATGTCCAATCTTTTGCTGCATCATTTTGATAGCAATGGAAACAGCTATCAACAGTGTAATTGGCGCTTACAATAGATGCTGTACTTTTCTAGTACTAAAAAAATAGATGCAGTACTTTCTCAAAGTAAGATATTCAGGAGGCGTCACAGCTAGAAGTTGGGGCTGAGCATTAGAAGTAGGTAATAAGTTTCACTCGTTTAAAGAGATTTTGAGAAATCTTCATAAGAGCTTCCCTAATGTACAGTAACGATTTAAGGTTATGCTTAACCGCCTTAATGTAAAAATGAAATTGGACATGTTTTGGAATGCAGATAAAACAGGTGTGATAGCATCATCCCAGGTGAGTTGATTCCCCACAATTAAAGTCTGAGCATCAAGATATAACTTTTAGGAAAACACTTTTATAGATCTACTCAATTAAGAATAATCCTTTATGCAAGCCTGTTTTTGTTTTGCCAAGGTTAAATAGCTCCTGAACTCTCTGAGTAGAGCAGTCTTAGCATTATCCCATGTGCATCAACTAAATTAAGTGCAGGACTAAAATATCTTGAGAAAATCAGATGAGGCAGTTGGTTAGATGATTAAGTATTTGATGATCAGTAGCCATCTTCACTGTTTTCTCAAAACAATACAAAAAGGAAAAGACACTTTATTCTCAAAAGACATATTTGTTTTTAGTAGGGGACTTAAAGGTGTTGCTTTAAGGTTGGTTGGTTAACTAAATTGTTGGACGCAGGAATACACATTTATCATGATAGGAATAGTATCACAGGAATATTTTTAGCACTAGTGGTGCCCAACCCAAAAAGGGGGAGCCGCCACGCATCTTTATTTGCAATTGGGCCAAAAAAGTCATTATCAGAAATAAAAAAAACTTTCCTAATATGGCACCTCAGCTAAAAGCCTAGGAAGCCATATCAGAAGGGGAGGAAGCTTTGGG